TTGTGACCCACCCCAGCCAAAAGGACAAGCTTGAACTATGCATTTGCCAGGTGCTGTGAATAAAGCCTTCACTTCAGGAGACGATGAAGAAATAGCATTTTATTTCTTATAAATTTATAGCCAAGACAATAAATCACTCCATAGAAAAATTTAAAACAAGATACATTGTTGTGACCTTCATAACAGATGGTGTCATTAGTACAATAGTGAAAACTGCCTGCTGGGATGTCAGGTTGCAGCATTTTGTCAGGCTTGATGTATGAGAAAGAAAGTCAGTAATGGGACAGGGCCTTGCCCCCAGACTGAAACTGTTTTCGTAAATGACCAAGAGAGATGTGCTTAGTGGCCATGTCGCCCCTAAGTTTAGCTACCTTTGCGGAATAAATGGTGAAATTTATAGGGCTTTATTTTTGTTGCTTGGTTTGAAGATTTATTTATTAATTTGGCTCCGTGTGGCACAGTAATATATTTGCCTTAATAACATTACCTTACATCCAAGTAATTACTCCATTAGTCAGAGATAACATTATCGTTAAATGTATGCTTAAACTGTCACAGTGACACTACTGCACCCAAATCATTAGTAAGTCCAGGATATCCTCACTCATTCATCTGTTTCTCAGCTACCCCTGTTCTGTGTCATCAGAAAAGAGAATGGGAAAAAGTTTTACTTTCAAGACCAAGCTTATCCTAGTCCTAGTTGCCACATGCACTGTTAGTCACATCTGTAGACAAGAACTGCTCATTTATGAAACTATATGGTTGTTTTTGCTGTGGCAGTCACCACAGAGAGATGGCTAAATGGTGGATTGAATCAGGTTGAAATAATTCTCTTAACTGTTTTTGGAACATTGTCTGAGGCAATTACCCCATCCTTTCTGCTATTCCATTGTCATCTTCAAAGGAAGTTTGTTTCTTTCTCCTCCTTAGGTCTTTGAAATGTTCTACAAATAGATGAATTTTTTTCCCCAATAATGAAAACCAGCAAAAAGCACAAAGGAAAATCGGGACATTTTTAGGAGTCCTTTTGGAGAATGAAAACTAATGAGTTAGTGATGTTGTGGTTGCAGGTTTATCTCCCTATGGTTCCTGACATGGGCCAGCTGCAGCCTACAGCTTGGCTGGGCCTCTAATGGGAATGGGTCCTAGCTTGCTGAGTTGAACAGTTGCTTGCTTTGAGGTGTTCAGTAAGTTTAGACTTGCTAGACAGAATCTTCTCATGCTTTCCCCTTTCTAGATATGAATATCCCACCCCTGTTATTGGCTATTTATGAAAACATCCAGAGCTCTCTATAATAAAGTTCTATAATAGGTTCTAATGAGTATATACACTGTGTTAATACTACATGCTATGCTGTTCCTGTTTATGGAGGGAGTAGAAGAATTTCCTACCAATCATCAGCAAACAGAGAAACAACACACCTGGGATTATGGTGACCACAAAGATTGCTTCCATAGAACACACAAAATCAAATCCCAGTTTTATTCTAACATTTTATGACATCTACTATATTTGGAGTTATAAGTTACTTGTCAAATATTCAGTCTACATATACCACATTGACTTTAGTTGAGCGTGCTCATTTCAGGAAAATACTTTGCTATTCTTTGCAGCTAAGCATTCCAGAAACAAAATAAATAATAAGAATCATTTCCAGGCAAGAGATAAGTTTGAAGATGAAGTGTAAACTTTTTAGGAATTATGGTACACACTAAAAGGCATCCTAGGTGTGATTATATTAATATCATATGTATATAAAATCATTTATTTCTATTGTGGAAATAACTTCATGATATAAGAGACACTATATAAGAAATAAAAACACTTAATTCCTCAAGTATTTAATCCTTCTTCTCTTATGGAAATAAGCCACTAAAAATGATGGTCCTTTGGGTGACATCTTTGTGATAGACAGTACAGTGCCTACATAGGTAATTCATTAGCTCTTTGTTAAATAGCCAATTGATTGTCCAACATTCTCATGTCTAGAAATTTTTAGAGAAAATATGTAGGTTTAGGAAAAAGTTAATTCTAAAACGAGGATACACTTTGCCTAGATAAGAATTCAAGGGCCCTTATGTCTTTTCCACTAGAGCAGCAGGTAAGATTCTAGGCAAACTCCACACAAATGGAAGACCTCCATACATTGCTCTAAATAGTCTGCAAGTCAACCCAATCTCTCAGGAAAACAAGTCAAAACTAAGTGACATTTTGCTGCACTTGACAAACAAGTAAAGATAAATATAAGTACAATTCTCACTTTATAGCTGGTTCAGACACTTGATTGCCTTGAGATGTGTGATAAGGAAAGACCAAAATTTGGTTGTGGGAGATTCTTTTACCTAAAATGAATATACCTTTTCATGTCATGAACTCACATAGCACTTAATGCTTGGGACACTTTAACTTGAATTCTTTCATGATATGCACGACAGCGTTATGTCAGTCTATTTCCCCAACACCAGTGTCATTTGCCACACACTCTTTTTCAGAAGTACTCAGAACACTTCTGAGTCTCCTCTTTGTGAGTTTGGAGTTTTGCTAACTGCATTAAAAACTTTTACTGCTTCACATTTTCTCAAGATGATTGGTGAAAGACATTTACACCAAGAGAAATTTCTTTTCTTTAAAAAATCATAAAACTTGGTTTTACTTTTAAAAATGCCATTAGTAAGATTCTCAGTTACCCCAAATATTTTAATAAGTAAATAGTTTCTTTTTTATGAGATAGAAGGTAATCTGAAAGGAAATTGATAAGGGGTAGGAAAACGACTGTACCCCATTTGGGTTCACTAGTACTCTTCCTGATTATAGATAAAATCCTGAAGGGCAGGTCAGAGACATCAACCAGACATGAGGGATTGTGTTTGCATTTTCAGCACTTTGCCTTGCCACTCAATATGAATGTGTCCTCATTTCAAGAAAATCACATAAGCATAATTCTGCCATAATGAGCTCAATAATTTAGTAATTATTTAATTACAAAATGAATATTCATTTACTATAATCTAGTGTTGGATTCCTTTAGATAGCGGGGCTTTAAAATGTAATTCAATTTAAAAAGAAAGAAGCCAAGACATCTATTTTGAATACCTTTTGGGAAGATCATCTCTAAGGATGAGCCACATCCTGTTCCATTGACATTTCAGCCAGACTCGACCAAGCTCCAGGCTAATTGCAACTGTCTAGATCTATAATGAAGGCCTTCCTGAATGACCTTTATGTATTTGAGTTAAGTAAAGCTCTTCTCTGAGAAAGCAGCTGTTCAATAAAGTTTTACCTTTAGAAGACAGGCTATCAGAAGCCTGTTGTCAGTGTGTCAATGATATTCTCTTCTTGAGGGAAACCTTTATTTCTCTGGTGACAGTAACACCCATTGTGATTTCAGGTTCTTGTCATTGTGGAAAGTGCATTTGTTCTGCAGAGGAGTGGTATATTTCAGGGGAGTTTTGTGACTGTGATGACAGAGACTGCGACAAGCACGACGGTCTCATTTGTACAGGTGAAGTATTGAATTGCTTACACTAATTGTTTTTGTGCCATGGATGCCAATACATCCAAATGGCATCTGCCACATATTGCTTTAGGTAGCCAGAGAAGGCAGCTTCCACAAGCCCAAGTGAAAAATGCACACGTGTATTAATTCTGAAAGGGTACCTGTGAATACACACCAACATTTTCCCTAGAAGATGGCAAAACGAATGCAGCCAGATTACATGATTGGAAGCTTCTACAAGCTAATCTGCCCTAGGAATTTACACAAGGGTATAAATACAAATGCAGAATTCTCTTGACAATCATTTTATTTTAACATAGTCTTGGGGAGGTGTATTGGCTATTTTTAAAGAGCTGGGTGTACCTATGGATGTGTGTGTGGTGGGAAAGATAGCAACTGAGTATATAAAAGGTTTGAATGTGTAATGGCCATCACAAACCTTATTGAGTTATAATAATTAACTATAAAAATACTGAATCAAGTTAAATACTAATATGTGTTCTCCTGGAGTTATTATTTTAATTATCAAATGTACTCATAATTAATAGAGTTCTAGTTGATTCAATATACCATCAATAAAATTCTTTCTCAGTAACCCAAAATATTTTGTAATCAAATATTATAATAAGGTTAAAGATAACTATTTTGACCTAACATTAAATTAGACAATCACTTTTTCTGTCTACCTTATTATACGAGGATATTTTTTCCAGCTCTCTGGCATGTCTAATTTCATATCAAGGGGCTTTATGCTTTTCAATGTTTATTTGTAAGTCAGATGTGGATTTCTCTCAGCTGTTTAATAACATAATAATATTGTATTATAAGACCCTTTAGAGAGGATAAATGGAATGGTTTTATCATGGACAGTTAGGATTCACAGTCACATATTCTAATGGTGCTTTCCTATCATGACTGTAATTTCCATGTTTATTTTACTGCAGGGAATGGAATCTGTAGCTGTGGAAACTGTGAATGCTGGGATGGATGGAATGGAAACGCATGTGAAATCTGGCTTGGCACCGAATATCCTTAACGATTCCACAGGAGACAACTGGATTCTTATTTCTAGGCCATTTTAGAAATTTAGAGGAAAACATGTGTAAACTGCACCAGGACAGACTATTGTGTGTTTTTCTATTTCTGACTGCCTGAGGGAAACATGGGTCTTTACTAGAAATGACTTCAGCAAGCTGATGTAAATTACACCACAAAGAATAGTCCTCCCATAATTAACACCAGTGTTTCACAACTGAGGGGGGAACTTTTGCAACCCACAAGATATTTGGCAATGTCTACAGAGAATTTGGATAGGGTATTGGTTCTTGTACTATGGGCACTTTAGAGACAGTGACCACAGACAATGCTGAACACTCTATAAAACATAGAAAGGCCCTTGCAGCAAAGTATTTTCTGACATCGAGTGTTTGCCAATATGTAGTAGAAAAAATGCTTAATAACAGGGTAATTAGGACTCCACATTCCGACACCAGAAACACTGTATCAGAATATAAGGATGATATTTATTCTCACATAAACCAATCATTTGGAGTTTTTCAGGATTCCATATGACTGAATTTGCATATTGGGACAATAATAACAAACACATATGACGGTGTGATGATGGACTGATCAAAGGGCTTTAAACTCACAAGAATCTCTTACAGGAAGAAATGAAAAATGTACAATTTGACATTTTAATAAATAGAGACATAAGTTGTTTATATTCTGTGTCAATATCTATTCACCCACTGAAAACAATCATAATAGAAAAAATGAATTGGAATATGCACTTTAGATCCCAAGAACTAACAGACCATGTTAAGACTAGGCATGGGTTACACGTACAAGAAATCCATTTTTTTACTCAAATTAGTTCATGTAATGTGTCCTCTGAAAAAGACAGTGTTAACTAGAAACACTAGGATCCTATACTGCATTCCTTGCTCTTAAAAGACTCTCTTTTCTTCAAAGAAATGGTAGGGTCAACAAGAATGACACATATTTCATAAGCTCAGAAGTGGATTCCAAAGTCTAGAAATAGCTTAAATCAAAATTACAAATATTCACTCAGCGATAGGAACAAAATGTTTATTTTCTGGGTGAAATTTTGTTCTGTATGAAACTCACATTGAATTATGAAAATGTACAATATCTGGGGTTCCCTTGCATATATACAGTTAGATCTACTTATACACATAGTTGAAGCAACCATTATTTATAGCTAAAAAAATACCTTTTTCCTAAATGTGAATTATTTGTAAAATCCTAAAATAACATAGCAAAATCATTTCTGTATTGTTTTAAGATGAAATTTTTACTTGCAAATTTTATATTAATAATGTAAATATTCTAGAGTCATGGCTTGGACTTTATCAGTCAAGTCAACAAAAGTAAATAAAACATGCCTCCACTGTATTACTTAAAAAACTAAATATTGAAAAGTATTTGAAGAGTCAATTTCACTGGTGCTGGTTTTATAGTAACAATAAGGTTCTGAGAATTTAACCTATTTATAAAATTGTTGCCTCTATCCTGAGATTAGGGGACCCAGCCATATAGGTTGTATTTCTATTACTAAGCTGGCAAACAACATCAGTTTATAAAACGAAGGAAATATTAGGAGTTAAGGTAGAATATGGATGATTGCATTCTTTCCTCTTCTCTATATTTCCCCTTCTCTATATACATTTTAACCCAGAAACGAACCAATTATAATAATTTAGTAGCAGTTCTGATTATATGTTTGTTGATATCCAAACATTAAGAGTGAGTCACCTTCCCATCTTTGTATAATGACCTTCAGATATCCATACTGCAGGCCTTAGCCTTCTACAAAGGTGTGAACAATGTGTATTAGATAAACCACTGTAGGAGTTTCTTCTTTAATTGCTTAATATTTTAAAATTGTAGTTAATAAATAAAAATCCATCCTGAGCTCTCCGGCCATACATAAGCAGGTTTTGGGCTGGCGTTAATCACAGCTGTGTGTGGTAGCTTCTCAGACTTTGTTCCCCTGAATTACCTTCAGGTCCCTTTCATCACCACAGGTGTATTTTTTAAATTGTTATAATTCTCTTTCTGTTTTATTTTTTATCAGTAACATCTACCACAAAAGTATGTGTTGCTTTTCTTATATCTTCACAAGTAACAGTGTTGAAATATCCTTAGCATATATGTGTTCTTAGAATAGAGTTAGGACATTGGAGATGTGATTATTCCATTAAGGTCAAAATGTGATATGTTAAATTTTGTCCAACACGAAAATATGTTGTAGTTGGCCATGTTCTGGAGTGCATTGTTACAGGTTATGGAAGGAAACTGTAGTATATGTATTACAGTAACCTAAACTCTAATCAGTTCTTTTTCCTAGAAAACAGACTTGGAAAAAAGCTTCAATTTGTGTGTGTGTGTGTGTGTGTGTGTGTATGTGTGTGTGTGTGTGTGTGTGTGTGAAATTTCCACACACTTTTGTTTAAAAAACAAAACAAAGAAAGATGGTGACAGGCAAAGACATAATCTATTCTCTATCTAAATATGTTTTTATACTTTCATTCCAAAATAGAAACTACCTCATTGAAAATGCTGAGCAAGAACAAATTTGTAATTAATAGGAGAAGATAAGCAAATCTCTTTGACTTGCTTGTGAATTTTTCAAAAATTTCACTGGGACCCATGATAACTATAAAGGGGGCATTAAGTTCACCAATGGTGGTGATCCTCCTCCTACTTGTTTAACAAACCAATAGTGAAGAATCCCTCCAAGGAAGTTATAAAAGTCCTCAAGATATGAGAACCATTGTTCCTACTGCCTTTAAGGAATTCTGAATTCATCTGGATTCCAGCAGCACCAGGGAAGGAATGGCTTATCTCTATCAGTTCAAATGCAAACTCAACTTCACCAATAGATATCAAAATTAGACAGAATGAGAACCAAGAACAAAGGAAAACAAAAATGCAACACAGTCCTAATTTGCTAACTCAACTGTCACAACTTTGAAGCCCAAGTAGTATTCCAGATGCTCAACTAGCCTTTTGAGTTACTTTTTAAACCAAACCCTTAACTACCTATGTTGTTTATTTCAGAAGAACACAATTCACATCCTGGATTTGAATAAGTCTGTACTTCAGAAAATAATTGGGCATTTAGCCTGATTGTCTCCCTATGATATTGTCATTCCCTAAAGAAAAAAATTTGAAAATAATTTCCTTCTATTTTCAGTTCCTTCTAAATTGAACCAAACCGTGTCCACTGTTGTCTCAAGCTCATTTTTTGAGGGATATCAAACAACTTTTATCCACATAATTATTGGGAGAAATTTTTAACAAAGTAATACTTATTTACTTTAAGGGGGAACAAAGGACCTGCTGTTTTAGTTTTTGCTTAAGGTACCAAATTTGATATTGATCACTCTAGGGAGAAAAAAAAGATGGTTTAGTAGTTTAATATCCAATTAAGTGGTTATGTATGATACATTCTGATTACTTGCTAGGAAGTCAATAATTAGAAAGACTGGAGCAAAATTCATGAAACACTTTATGGATCTATTCCTTACCCCCAAAGCATCCATGCCAAGCAAACACTTAAAATAAGATTTTACATTCTCCAGAATATATAAGAAAAGTGTGCCCAATTCCCTTTTATTCTTCACAGACTGTTTGAGTGTCTTCCATAATTTTTACCTGGGAAAATAATAATAAATTTCTGGAAGTAAACCTATTTGGAAACAAAAATTCTGTGACTTGAATTATGTAAAGGACTAATATTAATTAGCACTGTTGATGGCTAGGCAAAGCAATCAGCTACCCATAACAGGGTGGTAGAACTAACCCTTCCCCATGAGACATGCATGCAGAAGGAATGGGTCTTCTAGAGACGTGGTACAATGGATATACATACAGGGATATATAAAACACACAGTCTATAAATACAAATGTGTTCCATCAGATTTACTATACAGAACATCAGTAATGACAGATTGTACTTTAATAATAATAGCAAACTTAGTTTCTGAGGGAAGGAATGATGGTCTTATTCCAGAAAATTAGCAAAAGAGGTATCATCAAAGAGCTAAAATTTTCTTTGGCATGGTAAAGGGGAAAATTGAGTTTATCAACTTATTTACAGAGATTTCTCTCTATTTGGGGTGATACAAATTTTGTTACATAAAGTTAATTGATGGTTTCCATATGCTTTCATATGAGTATTTTACTTGATACGTTGTATCTGTGAACACAACAAATGTCAAGAAACACAAGCTCTCTGTATGTAAATCAAAAAATACATACCAGTACTTCTGGATACATGGGTCCTAGTTCATGCAGTTCAATTGGTGCTTTCCAATTCCCATGCAACAGGTGAGACCAGACCCAAAGGAAATGGCCTAACCAATTCAAAGATATAACAAAGACCCCTCTGCATGTATCTAAACATATATTAGAAGAAGCCAATGGATACCTACTTACACTGATGCATTCTCTCACAGACAACTGACAACTCTTGGAAAACGAAACAGGGAAACATTAACATAAATCTCAATCATTTACAAAAATAAATCTTGCCTTAATTTTAAGCACTAGCCAGGTCTTGAGAACAGAAATCTCAAGTAGTGTTTATTATCAAAAACAGAAAGTGAGGTTGGTTTAGGGTGTGTGTACATGGGGATAGGTATAAACTGTGTCTATAAGGTCAACTAATAGGAATTACAAGTTATTCATATTTTCCCACATATTATTGTATGAATGTCTTACCTAAGTAATAGGTTAATGGGTTTTGTCTAATTATTCATAACACCAAATCAGTAGTGGTCAAAGGAGTCATTTTTTTGAGTTTTCAATTTAGCATTATTGACAATAAATCTACTCAAACATTATGCTAATGTTTATTTATTAAAATGGAGTCTAGTATGAAAATGAAATAAGCATAAGCAGTTAAATTTATACTAAATCTTTAATCAACTAAGCAAGCAAAAAATTTTTCTATATTGGGCAAGAGTGTCATGGAGATTCATGAAATCAATGGGAAAATAATTTCCCAGTAAGCACAGTGAAGATGGGGGCAAATGGCAGTTAGGTCATTCTGCCACATGGAAATAATAAGAGGCCAGTACATTGATCCCACATAGATGGTTTTCTATAAAAGAGATTCAGTTTGGTTTCAGTGACCTTTTCTGAGAAGAAAACATGAAATTTTATTGTGTACACACAGTTAGCAAGTATATTTCCAAATAGTTTAGTATTAAACATTTTGAAGCTCTTTATATCTGATATTGAACATTTTATATGGAATCTTTAAACTGTATTTCCAGATTCACAGCCTTTCTTAGTACCCCCACACTTGAAGTTCAACAGAATCCAATTCAAAATAAAGTTACAAAAGCAAAATTAAACAGAATCAAATAAATTCAATGGCCCAAGCCCCTAATGCTGGAGTGTATTGGTTTCTCTTTAGTTTTATCTAGGGTACTCAACACAGCACATTCTGATATCTTAGGAAGTCACCTCAAACCCAGCCTGTCGGGTCCCAAAGACTTGAGTTAGAGGTGTTTACTGGTGACACACAGTACCAGACCCAGCATGCTGAGTTAGAAAGAAAAAAAAAAAGAAAGAATTTTACCTAATATGTTCATTTTAAAAACTTGTCATTAAACACCAAAAACATTAAAGTCTAATTTATACTACTGTGTGCATTGCTGTTGCAGGAAAGAACACAACAGCCACCTTGCCCATGCTCTGCTGAGGGTAACTGGAATGCAGCCCAAATCAGGGTGGCATTGAGTTATCTTTATTAAAAACAGGAAGGAGTGGGTCGGAAATGGAATTAGGTAGCATATTTCTTATATGTTGTAATGATTTGTTTTTTATTTTTCCTTTTTTTCCCAATAATGAGGATTAATAGATGAAAAAAATGAACCTTAATCAGGCCTACAAGGCCTACAGAATTCTTTGGACCCACTTTCTCAAAAACCAAGTGGGTCTTGCTCGCTGGGCAAGGCAAATGTTACCATTACCAGTAAGCTTGTGATATGTATAAAACACACACACACACACACACACACACACACACACACACACACACACACACACACAAACTTAGAGGGGATGCCAAACACCTATCATAGAGAGCTTCCCATGGATTGTGTTTGACCCTTGGTCCACCCAGGCCATGCCGGCCTCGGGAGCATAGCGTTTCCTTCTGAACAGAGCATATATGTGTTTGTTTATTCTGTAATGCGAGCCAAAGACAACAACCTTAATCTTTATAGATATGATTTGTAGTAATAGATTTAGAAGGCTTCCTGATTCCCTGATTGTTCTTCAAACTAAACCAACCACAACACCGAAGATTCAGAGGAACACAATCCTGCTAAGTCACAGACAGTGGAGCGAGCAACCCTGTAGAAATGGGAAGAAGAGAAATCCATGATAGCACAGGTTTACAGCGTCTAACTAGAAATTACTCAATATTATTTGTGTGCTACAAAATTGAACTTAAACACATGGATTTCGCTGAAACAGGACTCAAAAAGGATTATGGGTAGCTGTCAGCAGGCAATGTATTGAGTGTACTTGTGAAGTATGCCATTCACATGAAGTGTCACAGTCACAGAAAAGATATTAAAAAGGCATTCCATATCTGGTAGGGCATTCCATGGTCTGAGTTTAGCTGGTTTGTCCAGGTGTCTTCTTGGTGTGTGTGGGGGGGGGGACCACAGGTTGAGATTTATCCACTTGCAACGAAGGAGGTCTGAAACAGCATAGAACAAGCATCAGCTTGCTTGCTGAGGTTCTTCAGCCACAGGAGCAGGAATGTCTAGTAAGGATAAATCGCTCCACTGTGCTCTGGACAAGTAAGTCAGGACACCTGAGGATCTGGCTATGTGGTCTTGCACTTGTTGACTGGTTTGCCTCCATTCATTATTGCAGATGCACTTGTACTTTTGCTTGGCGTCACCCCAGCTTTCGGAACTGTTTCTCCAACATCATGCAAAGATGGTTCTCGGTACATGGCAACTAGAGAGGTGAAGAGAGGGAGAGGAATAGAAGAGATTATCTGGCTACCATGCAAAAATGTCACACTACATTTGTATAGACCTCAGCCAGTCTGTGTCTATTTTTGGTGGATCAACCCAATCCCATTGGTAAGAGGTCAGTAGCTTAAGGCAGTCATTTCTAAACAATAAATTAAGCAACAGCTTTCAGTGTATTTTCTAACTTATATACTAAAATATGTACATTCATATGTACAGATTTTTTTCTAAGAAAGTTTAAATGAAAGCTATGACCGCTTTGTAAACCTAAAAAGAAAAGCACATATAACACCCAAGTATGTGTGGTGCATGAGTGCTCACACACAGGCACGTACACACACACTCTCTCTCTCTCTCTCTCTCTCAAGAAAAGTATTTGACCTAATTCTATTTTCAACTGAGATCACTAAGCTATTTTTCTCTTCAGTGGTTTAAAAGCCACACAGCACACAGTCACACCAGTCACACTGGGTTCCACTTGAAAGCTACACACAGCATTAGTAATAAAGGCTTCTTTTTGCTTAAACCAGAGCTTTCTGTGAATAATTGCTTCTGTTTCCTTTCCCACTATCATAGAGGGCCTTTACACAAATGGAGGCAACTGTGTGGCATTATATTTTGTAACTATTTTTAGCGTATTGTTTAAAAAATTAAATAAGTGATGTTGGTAGGATAGGGGCATAAAACAATAACACCAACTGAGACTAATGTCTGAATGAAAATTGAGGAATTGTCTTGAGTTGTGCCTTGTGACATGAGCACCATAGTTCATGTCACCTTTTAGAAAATGCTTTTACAGAGTCTCAGGAAAGGCTATATAAGATTATCTGACACGTGGGAAATTAGTTGACTTAAACTCATCTACCACCAGAATATAATTACAGTCAATCTTCCCAGTAGGCTGCTTGGGTTTTGAAAGTTTAGTTGTTCTAGAAAAAAAAACACACCCTGGGTGGAATGGGCTCACTGCAATGAGTACTGTGTAAGTATCTTACACTTGCATCAATGTATCCATATTTTCTTAGCACGCTCACAAAGGTAAATGTATGCTGAGCTAAAATACTTGGAAATCACGTAAAGGAAGCCAGTCTCTAACTCAGGAACAGTCTCCAAATGATAACACCTCACAGATGAAAAATTAGTTTTCTCTAGCTGAGACTACCTGGGTATACAAACCATTCTTAAATGCTAACCCCATGCTTAGCAGTAGATGGCCAATGTTGTTTTGTTTCCCTACTGGTCCTTGTATACATGCTACGGTTTCCCATTTTGTGTTTTTAAGGGATGTCTGTTTGTGTTCATGTTTGTCTCTGCATCTGTATGTGTTTCTTTACCTTTGGCTTCTTTCTTTTCTGTTTGTTTTCTACTTTTTGTTTTGTTATTTTTTTAATTTCTTATAATTTTATTTTATTTTTTAGATGCTAGATTCTATTCTAATGACACAGAGAAAGAAAGGGTGTGGTCTTGGGTGGATGAGGGAAGTGGCGAGATCTGGGAGGATCCTTGGAGGAGGGACATATTGCATATATATTGCATTAAGAAAATCTGGTTTTAAATAAAAAAAATAAGAAAAAGAAAGAAGGCAGTCTTCATTCTTGAAGCATATCCAATGTCTCACTTGTACTTCAATTAAGTTATGACCCAATAGTATCAAAGTTTTCTCTTACACCATCTACGAAGTCAAGTTGGGTGGGCGATCTGACTGCCCTAGAATATCCAGAAACAATAAAACCCTGTGGAAATGTCTATAATTGTCCTAAGTTTTTCAATTATATAATCTATACTCTATTTTTGTTTCTAAAGGAGATTGATATAACTTTCATAATCTCTAAATGTTGTGTTTCAGAAGTAATGTTTTAAAGTCATAGTAGATCATAGCCCCTTATTTTGGTTAGAGGACCTCTGCTCAGGAATTACTTTAAAACATGAAAGAGTAGTATTTTTATCTCTTCATATGTATACACAATGCTCACACAACAGTTCAACTTAAGGCTAGAATAACATGTAATAGGATTATTTGTGATAATTCTGTTTACGCCACAGCAGGTAATTCTCTGATCTTTTCTGTGGCCCTCATGCTTTTATTACATGTCTCAAACATGACCTACATATAGGAGAAGAGCTGGATTAGCTCAGTGGTTGGAGGTGATAATAAGTAACTTCAAAGCATCAAGCTTGAAGCATCCTAAAACCAAATTGAGAAATCCTGTAGATCGTCTGGGCTACAACCTACAGGTAGTCATTGCCAGCAGCAGGTCATCCCAAGGAGTTGGGCCACCTGTGTAAGCTTGCTTGTTTTGTTATTTTCTTCATTTTGATTCTTAAGAAAACTTTGAGACAAAGTTTTTAGTTTCAGTTCTAAAATTCAACATACATAACAATAAATGGTCCTTCTGGCAGAATAATCAATGAAAAAAAGTGCATGTATTTCTAATTAATTAATAGAGCATGGAAGCTTTAACCTTGGGATCTGATAAGAATAAATGTGAAGGAGCTGCTATTTAGAGTTGAAGGTAAGTTCAAGGGAAATAATTTATGTAGAATGGAAGGAAGTATGGATCTTTACAGATCATTTTAAGGATTATAATAAATCAAAGGAAATTTTACTCAGAAAATCTGAAGATAGGCAAATATTTGAAATTCCATGTGAAAATGTTTTTTCTTATATATTTATCATCATATGTTTGTAAGAACATAGTTCATTTATATTTTTCAAATAATTGACTAAAAATCATGATCTACTTAAAGCATTTGGGATAGTGAGGGTTTGCAATATTGAAAGAAGCTTCTCGTGCACGCGCACGCGTGTGCGTGCACACGCTCACACACACACACACACACACACACACACAACACACACGGCAGGGTGGGGGTTTACTTTTTTCTTTTTGCCCTAGGTTTGGTATCCAGAACTGAAAACTCTGGCTCTGGCACATGTAAAGTTAATGTTCTACCCCAGACCTACACTTGGTGCCCACCAAGCTTAGCCAAGAACAGGAGGAGAAATCCAGAAATCCATGCAAGCACCATTCCAACAAAGGACATTTGTGTCAACCCATGGAAGATTCCTGTGCCTGTGGCCATGTCAGATAGATCCATATAAAAATTATCAGTTTCTGGAGGATAATGTGTGTGACATACTCACCTTCCAATGGCTTGGGTAGAAAATGAGCTGCTGGTTTGGTTTTCTTTACTCTGTTTCCTTTCATAACTTGCCCTTCCTTATTTAATCCCAAAAACCAGGCTCTGCCAGACTCCTGTTGCCTGTACAGCATGGATGAGTAGATTACATAATAGTTTTCAAAAACAGACTCTTTAAACTTGCATTCAGGGGTAAAAAGTTCCTATTAGGAGAAAGAAGAGAAGAAAGTTAAAGTAGAAAACAGAAGGTCCCGATGTTTACCTATCTGCAAGAATTTTTCTGACATGATGACCATACAGAGTTGAGTGCTCCTGAATGCAGGAACACTATATACATAATTTTCACACCAAAGGAACTTGGAGAGTCTGCAACTGGTGGGCATATAAATGCAAGGATATATATCCTTTAATAAGGAAATAAAAAATGTAAGACAGGCATGGTAGCTCATGCCTGTAATTTGAACAATTAGAAGGATGAAGGAGATGTGTTGCTATGAGTTTGAGGACAGTTTGAACACAGCGAGTTCCAGTACAGCTCCAGCTACATAGCAAGAACTTGTAACAAATCAGAAAAACAAAAAGAAAAATTAACCATATAGTATTTTCAGTTAAGCAGAGCTTAATTCGGTGTCTAACACGTTAGCGTACCATAATCTATTCCTGATAAAGTTTACAAAAATATTTAAAATATTACATCAAACATTATTTTCATGGAAATAACTTTGCAAAACTGTAACAGCAAGGTGAACAGTTGCCACTTGGATCACTAGTGTTACATGGTGATAAATTTATATCAATGAGGAACAGATTAAAAGTGCAAACTAATGTCAAGACAATCAGATGGCATACAAGTTAGCCGCCAGAGGTATTGATGTGTGACATGCTGAGGACAGGCATCATGCTAGCTGATGGAAACCGGAAATAATTACACAACTTTACACTTTGGAGCCCTACTGAAATTGTTGAAGATAGATAGTAAAACCTAGCCCCGACTAAAAACCACACAACAATTTTGGAAAGAGTACACTGTGTTGACCAGATTCAGGCTCCATGTCATTATCCTCATTTGTTAGTGATCAGAAAAAGTTTTAGTACTATTATAAATATCACAAATATTGACAGATGATTTTATAACTTTATGATATTCTTATTTTGAAATAAATAATAATGAATATAATTTCATGCTTATTCATAAAATACATAATAATATAGCTTGTAAGCACCTTTTGGCAGCATCCAATTAAATAGAACTTTAAACTCGAACCTCCTAGTAGGAAACTATGGAAGATGCTTATCTAGTTTTTGTAGGCATAATAGATAGTCTATGTGTTATTTCATACATATGGAAACAAATATTCAAAAACATATTGTACTGCCACTTACATTTTTGCAACATTGCTGTACTAAAAGAATTTCACTCAATTTTCATTTCACCTGAAAAGATTTTGCTACTAAAGAAAATAACTTTTGTTTATCTGCTAGAAATAAATGTTATATACACATCCTTTAAGAAGAAAACAAGAAAACATCTCAGAGTTGAATTTATGTTAATTATAATAAGAAATGTGTTATAATTACATATGGAAGTGCCTTTGTATATTTGCTAAAAGATTGTGAGTTATCTCGCACTGATGGTGAGGACAAGGAGAACTGGTGGTGGAATGGCCAACCCTGTAGCTGTCCGGGCCCAGAACCAGAGTTGTGACTTGGGCCTGCCACAACATCTACCCCATCTGCTGGAGCACTTGAAGGAATCTGACCAGCAGACCTAAAACTGCAGGATCTCCACAACACCAGGCAACAACAGAATATTCAAGAAGAGTCCCAGTGAGGGTCCAGCATCATGGTATAATAGAAACCAGACCAATGGCTCTGAATGAATACTTGCAAGCGAAGATATATGGACAAAGGGTTTACTGCATTACTCACTGTGTCACAATGCAGCTTCCATGGTAAGATTTTTAATGGTTTCCTTTTAAATTTTGCTTTATTTTGCAGGGAACGGGTTCAGAGGCAAAGGGTGATTGCAAAGGGACTGAGGAAATGAGTGGGATCAAGATGCATGCTGTAAAACACACTGAATAAATAAAAAGTAAAAAAATGTGTATTATTAAGCAATATTTTCAACAGTATAAGTTTATTTGCTTTGCTCCATAAGTTTATTTCAACAGAAGTTAATTTTCCAAGGAGAAATGGATTCCATTAATTCAGATGTTTTTCATGACATAGATGACAGATTCTGTGATCTATAAAAGACATTAGCAAAACAAAAGGCAGGGTGAGCCCCTCCTGTTATTATTCAGGCATCTGTACTGGTCTGTCCTTGGGGTTCTGACAGAATACTCCCTCAGCTGCAACCACTACCTGTGCACATTAACTACTTTACCTTTTAAAAGGGCCCTTCCCCATTTAGTTTAGTCCCCCACTTTTTAATTGGATCCTTTTGTGTTTTGGAGACTTGCTTTTGAGTTCTTTGTAAATTTTGGAGATCAGCCCTCTGTCAGATGTGGGTTTAGTGAATATCTTTTCCCAATCTGTGTGGTGCCTTTTTGTCTTGCTGATTGTGTCCTTTGCCTTACAGAAGCTTCTCAGTTTCAGGAGGTTCCATTTATTAATTGTTGATTTCAGTGTTTGTGCTACTGGTGTTATGTTCAGGAAGCAGGCTCCTGTACCAATTGTTCAAGGGTACCTCCCACTTACTCTTATAACAGGTTCAGTGTGGCTGGATTTATGTTGAGGTCTTTGGTCCATTTAGACTTAAGTTTTGTGAATGGATCTATCTGCAGTCTTCTACATGCCAATATCCAGTTATGCAAGCACCATTTTTCTATTGTATAATTTTAGCTTCTTTGTCAAAAATCAGGTGGTCATAGATTTGTGAATTAATCTCAGGGTTTTCAATTTGATTCCATTGGTCTACCTGTCTATTTTTGTGGCAATACCAAGCTGTTTTCAGGACTGTATCTCTAAAATAGAGCTTGAAGTCAGGGGTGGTGATGCCTCCAGAAGTTGCTTTGTTGAGCAGGGTTGTCTTGGCTATCCTGGGTTTTTTTTGTTTTCCCATATAAAGTTGAGAATTGTTCTTTCAAGGTCTGTGAAAAATTGTGCTGGGATTTTGATGAGGATTGCATTGAGTCTGTAGATTGCTTTTGGCAGGATTGCCATTTTTACTACATTGATCCTATCTGTCCAAGAGCATAGGAGATCTTTCTATTCTCTGGTGTCTTCTTTAATTTCTTTTTTTAAAGGCTCAAAGTTCTTATGATACAGGTCTTTCACTTGTTTGGTTAGCACTACCACAAGGTATTTTAGAATTCTCAATAGAGGAGTATAAAATGGCTGAGAGACACTTAAGAAAGTGCTCGACATCCTTATCCATTAGGGAAATGCAAATCAAAACAACTCTGAGTTATCTTACTCCTGTCAGAATGGCTCAAATAAAAAAAACACCAATGACAATCTATGCTGGAGAGGATGTGGAGAAAGAGGAACACTCGTCTATTGCTGGCGTGAGTACAAACTTGTACAGCCACTTTGGAAATCAGTATGGAGATTCCTCTGGAAAATGGGACTCAGTATACCACAAGACCCAACAATTCCACTCTTAAGACATATAACCAAAAGATGCCCATTCACAGAACAAGAATGTCTGTTCCAGTATGTTCACAGCAGCATTATATGTAATATCTAGATTCTGGAAGCAACCTAGATGCCCCAAAACTGAAGAGTGGATAGAGAAAATGTAGTACATTTACACAATGGAGTACTACTCCGTAGAAAAAAAAAACAATGGTATCTTGAAATTTGCAGGTAAATGGATGGCACTAGAAGAAACCATCCTGAGGTAACCCAGTCACAAAAAGACAAACATGGTATGAACTCACTCATATGTGGATTTTAGATATGGATCAGGGGAGTGTCAGACTACAATCCCAGTGCCAGTGAGTCTGGGAAACAGGGAGATGCATGATGCCCCAGATAGGTGTAATGAGCCAAGATTTCCTGAGCAGATTGGGAACATCAGGGGAGGGAGAAAGGAACCAGGAAAAAGAGAAGGGGAGAAGAGGAGGGGAGAAGAAGGCATGGGGAGCAGGAAGGTTGAGTCAAAGTAAAAATAGAGGAGAGCAGGATGAGAGATACCATAATAGAGAGGAGTCATTATAGGCTTGAGGAGAGAGCTGACAGTAGTGAGATCTCAGATATCTACAAGTATAACACCAACTGGCAAACTAAGCAATAGTGGAGAGACTACATTAATTGCCCCTCCCTGATGATAAGATTGATGACTACCTTATATGCCATGCTGGAACCTTCAATCAGTGACTGATGGAAGCAGAGACAGATACCCACAGCTAAACACTGAACTGAACTTCTGGAACCCAGTGACAGAGATGGAGGAGTGATGAGCAAAGGGGTCAAGACCTTACTGGTGAAACCCACAAAGACAGCTGACCAGATAAGAGGGAGCTCTTGAACCCCAGACTGATGGCTGAGAGGCCAATAGGTGTCTGATCTAGACTTCATGAATGAAGTGTTAGTGAGGAGGCCTCAGAAATCTCTGGTGCCTTGGGTAGTAGATCATTGTTTACCATGGAGTATGAATGAATTTTGGGAGCCCATTCCACGTAGAGGGATGCTCTCTCAGCCTGGACACTTGGGGAAAGGCCTAGGTCCTGCCATGGATGTAATGACAGACTTTGGAGATCCCCCCAAGGATAGCCTCACCCTCCCTGGGGAATGATATGGGGATTGGTTGGGGGGCTGGAAGGGGACTGGTGGAGAGACAAGGAGGAGGGGTGCAAGAAGGATCTGGGATTGATATGTGAAGCATTCATGTTTCTAATTTGAATAAAATATATATTGATGAAAACAAAACAAAACAAAAACAAAAAAATAAATAAAAGGTCCCTTCCCACCTCCCATCCTTTCCCTCTCCTTTTCTCTCCCTTTCTCCCTTTCTCTATCTGTTCCTCTCTCTCTTCCCTCCTCTTTTTTTCTCTCTCTCCCTCTTTTCTCTCTACTCTCTCCTGCTGCTCCTTTCTCCAGAGGCTGGTCAACCCCCTTCCCTTTCCCCCCTTTTATGATCCCTTTTCCTAATAAAAAAATTGAAAGATGAAATGACTCCCCTGTTTCTCTAAGTTGCTTTTAGTCAGGGCATTTTATTACAGCAACACAATAAAACTTGAATGCCTCCCAACAGAAT